ACAGTGTCACTGCCAGGGTCTGGCATCTTTTGGAGTCATCCTGGCACTTTTTCCCCATGAGTACTTACCCGAGGCTGGACTCTGTGTCCAGTTCCTTGAAGCTCTCAGCCATCGCTGTGGACAGAGCCATCAAGGGTAGCTTCTTCTGCACAGAGTCAAGGATTTGGGAGAGAAGTGGTGACACCAACTATGCCTGGCCACACTGTGGTGCTGCTCACCACAGGGCATCAGTGGGTGCCAGAGATTCACAGGGGTTTGGGAAGGGAGATAGGCAACCAGGGCTTTGGAGGGTTATTCAATACAAAGACACTGTCTCTTTAAGGAGTGTCCCAAATTAGTGATGGTTGGAAGGGTTGCCCTGCTCTGCTCACCCCAGGCTGCTGGTGGTCACTGCTGGCAATGGGACCTGGGCTGGGCACAGCTTTGGGCCACCCTTCAACAAATCTGGCAAAGCAGGGGCATGCCATCCCATTCGCTGGTGAGGGACAGAGCTGGGGTGAGCACAGGCTGCAGCAGGAGGACTTTACTCACCACTCTTTTGTCCATCTCGGAGCCACACTGCCCCTGCAGACAGGCTTGGAGCCTCTTGGACACACTGTGAGCTGCTCGCTTGGCTGGCTCGATCCTCTGCTCAATCTGGAGCAGAAAGGTGGGTCTGGGGAAGCCCTTTCATCAACCATGGGCACTTCAAGGCCATCTCCCCACTACCTAGCTCTGGGTGCAGGTGGCCTGCCTGCTACAGCCCAAAGAATCCCTGGTGCAGGGAAAAGGGAATACAATTCCTGGTCAGGATTCATCCCTCTGTGGGCAGCCCGGGAAGCCCTTTCCAGTGGCAGAAGCCTGCCCTTCCCTTAACGCCACGGTCCTGAAATCACCCTCCGGCACACAGGCAGGTCCCAACCCCATGACTTGGATGTGCTGTCAGGGTGAATGGCAGGCAGGAGTGGGACAGGTTCCCACGCCCAGACACAAGCAGACACATGCCTGACAGCCCAGCCCATGCCTTACCTGCAGCAAATCTTCTGACAGGAGCTCAGTTGCTTCTTGAGCTCTGCAGAGGGAGGAGAAAGAACCATCAGCAAACGGGGATGACCTCCACCCAGCCTCTTTGGAAAGAAAGATCCTTATGCACCCTACCCACCTCTCTTTGGGCTCCCAGGAGCAGGAGACTTTGGCTATAGCCTGGACCACCAGACATAATGCTGTGGGTAAAATGAGCCCACAGGGACAAGAGTAGCAGAAGCAGGGCAAAGGCAGCCAACACCCCCCCAGGCAGGGTTTCCAGTTCAGAAACCATTTTGACCTCAGTCAAAATGCCCAGATGTGGCCAGGGCTTTGAAGATGGGGACCACAACAGGAGTTGATCCTGACTGCCCATCTCTCCCCTGAAGGTGAATCTTCGCAGGCCAGTGCAGCCACTAGGTATGAGACCACTCTTGCCAGAGCAAGGATATCTTTGTGGTCAAGCTGGGGTCTGAGACCAACACCAGCCCCTCCAGAAACACCTACACAAAACCAGCTTTTGCTTGATTTTGCAGCAGGTGTTCTCAGCGAATCTAACAAAGGAAACTTATGGTTTACATCAAATTCTGCTCAAAAGCAAATTCAAAACCCACCAGCCACTGTGACCCCCACAACTCCCTGATACCTCTCATACAGGAAGACTTGCTTCAACAGCCTGCTGTCATTGCTATGCCCTGGGAACCCTGTTTGCTTTCCCTCTGCTGCTGCTTTTTCTCCAGTTCACGTTTCTCTCTTTTCACCACCTGCCAAAGCCAGTGTGGGACAAGGCTGTGGAGCTACAGGAAATGGGGGTGGTTTGGTTGAAGGCAAGCAAGATCACATGAGGTCATGGCCCACAGAGGAGAGGCTCTGCAGAGGGTGAAGAACTCTCTTGGACTCCATGAGCTGCCTGCCTGGCATTAAGCAAAAGGGAGGTGCGTCTAACATGGAGATGAGAAATCTGACGGGAGGAAGGATGGTAAAGGGGGTTATGCTCCCCTCTGGGGAATGCAAGAAGATCAAGAGGCCACCAGGATATAGGAGCTGCTTCTCTGTGGCCAATCTGCTGGGCTGGCTAAAGGACCTCTGTGGTGCAGAGGACATGGTTGGTCCCGCTCAGCCACCCAGCACTGGGGAACCTGTGGAGGTGGCAGTAAGAAAGAGGGAGTGGGGGGGCTGGGGAGGGAGGGCCCAGCCCTGTAATTTCAGTTCTTGGTTTTGCAAGGGGAAAGCTTTGGAAAGCCAAAGACAAAAATAAGGAAGCAGCAGATGTAGGATAGGGACAGACGGATTTGTGTTGAGCTGTAAGTCCTCCATGGGTCCTCTGAGGATCCCCATTCCTCTCCTCAAAGGGCATTTTGGGATGCCCATACTGCTGGGCTGGCTAGAGCCATGAGACACCCCAGACTAAGGGGGGAGGGCAAGTCCCAGCTCCTAATTCCTTCTGGTCACCACACAGCCAAGGGCATGTGGCTGGAAGGTCCCTTCCCATTGCCCCACATCCTGGGGAAGTCAAGACTGGGAAAGCCCTGTCTGCAGGTGGATGCAGCACCTGTGGGCCCTGGGAGAAGTAATTGGGCTTGGAGATCCCATCACTGCTGAGCAACACCAGCGCAGCCTTCCTTCCCACTGTCCCTCAGGTGCCAGGAGGTCACAGCCTCTCAGCTTACGCTGAAGGTGCTCTAAACTCAGGGTTATGCCCCCCTCTTCCCAGGCCACTGTCACTAGGAAGTCAGTACAGTCCCGGCACAAGCCCTCAAGGACCCCTGTCCCTCTCCCTCTCAAGCCCTCCGGTACAGGTAGTGCAGAAATCCTTACCTAGTGGCGATGTTGGGATGGGACAGCTGCTGCCGCATGCGATTAAACTGTCTTTTCATCATCTTGAAAGCTGGGAGGAGACCAGGAGAGCCACTCTTCTTGACTGTACCTGCTCAGCACCCCTCGGTAATGCTTGGCATTGGATGCTGGCAACCCCTCGGCTCCCAGGAGCTGCTCTGCTCTTTGCTTTTTCCTGGGGACCTTTCCCTCCTTATTCCTCTTCTTTCTCCTTTCCTCGTTCCCCCTTTTTCAGTTTCCCTAGCTGGTCCCTTTCCTAGTCCCTCTGTGGGGATGCCCTGCCTGCTTTTTCTTCTCCTTCCTTGAACTCCCCTCTCTTGCTCCTTCTCTTTTTCTGAGCTTCCTTCCTCCTCCGTCCGCCCCTCTGCCGCAGATCAGGTAAGAGCAGTTCAGGGCTCCTGCTCCGTTCTGTGTTCCTGTCACCACCCCACAAGTAAAAATAACTTCAGCCAAGCCTTAAAGGGGAAATATTATTACAGCATACACATAACAAGGCAGGACAAGCACATGCCGCTGCTGAGCCCGAGCGAAGGGCCCACGCTCTCTTTCTTGCTCTCTGTCTCAGCTGGGGTGGTTCCCCCCCTTGCCTTGCCCACCACCAGCTGTGCCGCGGGGCAGCCCGTGCCGGTGCCAGCTGGCTGTGTGGTTCAGCGGGTGCCTGGTGTACTCCCTGCCCTACCTGGTCACCCACACTCTGCCAACACTCCTCAGGCACCTCTCCATGCTCATGGGTGCTCCATCCTTTTCCCCTGTGACATATCCCCCTTGTCGTGACAAAAGGGGGAGAAGCAGCAAAGCCACCCGTGCAACCCGTCCTGCGCCCCTCACCCTGCGTTCCCTCCCTGCCTTCGCTGAGGCTTTCCGGAACCACTGCAAAGCTGTGGCAAACGGCAGTTGCCTTGTGTTTTGGGGAGGCCCCTTCCTCCCCACTCCCCCTTCACCAGCAGAGCTCCTCTGAGCAGGGCGGGTGGGCCCAGTGCAGAGCAGCAGCGCTTGCACAGTTGCACAGGGACCACAAACTCCCTGTTCTCAGGCTTGGGTGTTGCCTCCTCTCTGCAGAGCTGCAACAAGGTTCACACTTTTTTTTTTAACTCCTTTGTCTAAAAGCATCCCCCTCACACCACCACAACCTTTGGCCCTGGCTCTATGAGATGTAAACCTCACTTGCATCTAGGACTTTCCTCCTCCTACTCTAAGAGAGAGGAGAGGTTGCTGTTGGTGAGGTTACATGGCTGGCAAAGGAAGTAGCAAACGCAGCCCAAATGAGAAGCGGTCTGCTTGTGGGCAGAACAGGCAAGCAGAAAAGGAAAAAGAGGCAGAAGGGCCACTCCACCTGTGCCCCAAAGCCTAAGGAGCAGTAATTTGTGGGCTGCTGGGCTGTGCTTCTTGGTAAGGGTCAAGTCTCCAGTGAGCATACAGCAAAGTGGTGCTGGCAGCTGTTTTAAAGCAGGTATGGGGTGAGGGAGCACCACTCTCCCTGCCCAAAACACCAGGCTGCTCCAAACCTGTGGCAGAGCACATCTGATCCCCTGGGCTTCCAACAGGCACTGTGGTCACTTCCAGCACCTATTGCAAAGATCCAGCAAAGCCCTGCCCAGATCCTCCCTGGCTGCCCCAGGTGGTGGCCAGGCCCTTCCTCCCCTGCAATGTCAGAGACCCACTCCCAGCCTCAGGCTGCTGCTTGCCAGAGCAGATCCCCTTCTTTGCACGCCTGCACTAAAACTGCCCCCTGGAACTACTTCCAAGAAGCAGCCTCGGGGAAGAGGAGGAAGTGCTGCTACCAGCAGTGGTAAAGCTGTGAAAAGTCATGTGGGGCATGGGAGTGAGCTCAAGCCCTGCTTCCCATGGGCTGTGGGGCACGGATCCTTGCCCACCACCTCTCAATGGGGAGGGAAGTGGGCAGCACCCAGTTTGCAGCCTAGAAGTGAGTGCTGTAAGAAAAGGAATTGAGAACTGCTGGGGGAATTCCACCATCCCAGCTCACCGTTCAGGGGAGTGAGGAAATCAGCGTGCAAGGCTCTCCCGGGGTGACTGCAGGATGAACTACAGGATTGTATGGGCAGGATTGGAGCTGGAAAGGACCCTGGGCAGGGTGCAATCAGAGTTAGGAAAGGCGAGGTGGTGAGAATATATTCCTTGGGTCAAAAGGCAAAGGGACAGGATCAGGAAAGAACTCTTTATTTCCCATAAATACAGCTGATTCTTCGCGCCGGGCGTCTAATTTTAAATGTTTTGTTTCTTCCATTTACAGAATTCTGCACTGAAAATATATACAAGTCTATTCAAGAACCAAACAAGATCTGCAAGGAAAAAACCCATACAAAACCCTGAACAGACCAGAAAGGGAAGTAAGACACAGCAGAAACCCAGCACAAAGACCTTGCTTCCCCTTGTCCTCTACTGCTTGCTGTCCAGCTTTGAGACACCTTTGCTGCCCCGAGCCAAGAGTGTGAGGCACCCCACTTGTCTCCACCACACAAGCCTCCTTCTGGCTCTGACAAGCTGATACAGGGCACAGCTTGCCCCTGTTTATGATCAGGCCCTCTCAAAACCAGCTTAGGGATGGGAAGCAGCTCCCATGGTCTCAAGTCCCACGGGGAATCAGGATTGCTTGGGATGTGCCATTCCCCAGTCTCCTCCGTGCCTGCAGATCCCCGCTCTTGTGTCACAGTGATCAGGCGGCTGGAGTGAGCCCCCTCCCCGCCACAGGGAGCCAGGCCTGCCCTCAGCTGCGGGCAAAGGTGAGCAAGGCACAGCTGAACCCCCCTCCCCCCCATACGCCCCCCGTGCAGAGCTTAGTGGTGATGGGTTGGGCTTTCATCTCCCTGGCTCCCAGCCCATCACCTACCCCACTGCGAGAAGACACTGAAGAGCTGAGAAAGCTCCCCGGCCCCCTAAGCTCTCCAGTACAACCAAGGTGGAGGAAGACTAAGTGCTGCTTCCTCTCCCCATCTGTTAGGAGGCTGCAGGGAGACTCAACCCCTACAGTGTGCTCCTCTCCAGGCCCCCATTCTTAGAGTTCCTATGATAGATAAAATATGGGAAGAGTGTGGGCCACCCTGCTGTGGGGGTTCACAACTCCAGCTGAAAGGGGATGGGAAGGCACAGAGCAAGCCCTTCCCAGCCCCCAGGGTCCCACCCTGGGGCTCACCTCCCACCAGCAGCTCTCTAAGCAGCTAAAACAGAGATGTGATGATCACTCCCCCATGTCCCCCAAAACAGTGGCAGCTGCCTGCTCTCTGGTGCTGGAGAGATGCCTAGCCTCTGTCCAGCCTTGTTCTATACCAGTTCCAGTGTGATCTCAACAGATAGGGAAACACTGGGGCCCAGCTCCAAGGAGGGGACAAGGGGGACAAGAGGGAGCACCATAGAACACGAAGTAGCTGAAAAGCTGGGAAGTGCAGAGGGGGCAGAAAAGGAAAATGATCTTCCTTTGCTAGCCCTTGCCCTGGGCTGAGGCTGTCAAAGCTCCCTGTCCTTGTTCCCCACTGCACCTAGAGCGGGAAAGCAGGGTTAGAAGAGAAGCTGGACAGACTGGGGAGGGAGTGTAATCTTCGGAAGAGCAGGGAAGGCAACTGTTCACACACATGAAGCTTTCCATTCCGCTTCTAGTCTTGTGGGATGAACATCTCCTGGCATCTCTGCTCTCCTCCTCGAGGTACGCTCCCTTGGGCACTTGCCCGACTGCCTGGAGAATAGAGCGTGAGCAGCAGCCCCCCACCCACCCTCCCGTCTCCTCAGGCTGCTCCAGCCCTGCAGGGTTGGCTTCCCAAGGAATCTGCAGTGTAGTGCCTGCAACATGTGGCTCTAGAGGTTTCCCCAGGACTCGGGTGGGGGAAACTGGTCCACGTCCCCAATTTCATTGTAGGTTTGCTCTCCCATGGTGAAGGTCAGCTTGTACCGTAGCCTCACTTTTTCCTGGAGACGGAGGAGAAAGGATAAGCAATCAGATGCAGGGGAAGAAAGGCATGAGGCACAAACCATTTATGTCTCTCAGACGATGCTGAGAGTAGAGGAAATAGGGACAGGGTAAGGAGGTTTTGCCTAGGCACCAAGACCAGCCTCTGCTTGTGGCCCAGGGATGATGCTGTTACCTTCTGTGGGTTAGCAAGCAGCAGGACTTGGGTGATGGCACTGGGGTGGACAATGGGATTGAATGCTGGCAGCTCCGTGCCTGAGGGAGGCTGTAGTTTCACCTTCATTACCTACGGAGAGAGAAGAGCATCTCACATTCCTGAGTGACTGGGCAGCCAGGAGCTCTGCTCCTGTACTTGAGGAGCTTCCACTGTCTAGTCAAAGAGAAAAACATTGTGCTGGTTCCTGCTAATCTGAAGGCAACATAACTTGCTCCCATCCCCACAGAACTCTCTCAACCCACCCTGCCTTTCCTGCAGAAGTAGAATCATGCTCTGGCCCAGTCTGGGGACCTCAGCCCCAGCAGTGTCCTCACCTTGGGGACGGCAGACTGAAAGACAATGTTGCGGATGGGCTGCGGGGCCGTGCTGAGCATAGAAATCACCACCACAAGCACATCAGGCCTCTCAGGCAGGGCATCCTTAGCAAAGTGGAAGAGGACGCGGAAGCCATGTTGATCATACACTGTCACAGGGAGGATGCTGCCTGTGGGAAAGGCATTGACAGGCAGCAGTCACCCAGGAGGGAATTAGCCCCATCACCCAAACTCCATACATGTGACAGAGACAGCATTCCTCCTCAACCTCCACAAAATCCAACAAGCAAGAAGTTTCTTCACATTCCTCCCATCCATGTGTGCAAGGTTTGTTCCCCCCACGCCTGCCCCCCTCTTTTTCCCCAGTTTTGGGGGACTTTTACAGACACTCACTGGGTTTGATTGATTCCAGAGGCACAGTGATGTTGGCCAGCGAGATCTCCTGGGGCAGCGCAGTGGCAGGAGGCCGCGGTGGGACTGCAGTACTTCCTGCTGGTGTGCTGGCAGCTTTTGGAAGCATAGCAGGGGCAGGCAGCTCTGAGGTCAGGGGCAGCGTGGGGTTAGGGGAAACACTCTGGAGCACAGGTGGAGTGCTGGGATTGTGGGCTGTGGTGGCAGAGCTGCTCCTGTTCTGCAGATCCCTCAAGGTGAGCCGAGGGGGTGGCTGCTGCTTCTCCCTGCACAGAAAGAGCAAGGAGTGAAACAGGGCATTGAAATGCTGTGTCTAGCACCCCAGAAATGGAAAAGATGGGGAGATTGCACTACCCCTGCTTACCATCGCACTTGTTGAGACTCTGGAGGCAAAGACTGCTGCAGCAGAGTCTTGCCCAGGAGGTCCAGGTCATCCAGGCCACTGCTGCTAGGAGAAGGTTTGGGGGAGGATGCACCAGCATCTGCTTTGACTGGTGGTATTGCTGTGATAGGGGTGATACCGACCTCATTGCTATCTGATGACTGTAAAAAGAACACACAGGAGAGCCCCCAAAGCAGGACTGCATATCAGCACTGACCATCAGATCTGGGATTTTTCCCTACTTCTTCATTTGTTGCTTTTACTACCCTCCCCACCCTCTGCCACGGCTCCCAGCACATTACCTGGAAGCTGTTCCAGCCACTGGTGTCACTGGCCTGGGCAGCATGTGGTGCTGGGTCATTCAGGCCTGCCAGGAGTAAAAGCAAACATGCAGTTTAGCTACCAAGTGGGTAAGAGCAATAAATGTGGCCTGAATAAGAGAGACCAAATAGGGCAGAACCACCAAGGTAGTCTCCACCTCCGGCCACCATCCTTGCATGGGGGGAGAGCCAGGAGGGTGACAGTAGTTTTTTCTGTCCAGAGATCCTCATTTGCAGTTCTCACTGCAGTTGGCAGAAAAGTGAATACAACTGGGCTGACAAGTCTGGCTGACCACGCTGTCTACTTCACACTATTGCACTCAAAGCACTTGTCTTAGCAAACAGACACCTTGTTGGGCAAAGAAGGACTCTAGAGCCTTCTAGGATTGCCTCCTCACAAGATTTCCATGTGAACAGTTCTGGAAGTCCCATGCATCTGTTGTCAGCTTGTGACTTCAACAGCAAGCAGTAAATATGAGGAGCTGAGGGTGATCCACCCTTGTGATCCCATCTGGGGACAGCCATTGCATCATGCTTGATTTACCTGCCAGGTCAGTTTTCCCAGAGCAAATCAGTGGCACATCCCTGCAGGCTCTCTCTGACTAGAAGGAAAACACCATGGGACTGAAGTTCAGAATCACAGCAGGGTCTTTCCCTCATGCTAAATGAGGGACACCTCTTTGTCTTTCATTATTCACCTCTCCCAGAGCTCTTTATTATTCATGTTGCTGCCACAAGAAGAACCACCCATGCAGACTATCTAGAGTTAAGGAGAGAATAAAGAGCTTTTGCTCTGTATTTCTCACCCAAAGACATTAGCTCATCATCCAGCAAGGAGACAGAGCCAGCCTGGTCAGGCACGGGGACTGCTGAGCCACCTGAAATGGTGGGCAAGGCTGGGTAGGAAGGGCATGTTGCTGGAAGCTCTAGGCCAGACAGATCCAGAAGTGCTGAGGTGCTGCCTGCAAAAAAAAAAAAAAAAAAATTAAGAAGCTGAGAATCAAAAACTTTACCCAGTCCTTATGCAGTGCACTGAGGCCAGTTCCCATCCTTCTGCACATCTGGGAGAGGGAGAATGCCCTGCTCTCCCTTCCAGTTCCCTCTCTTCATGCATCAGTCACCCTCACACATAGTTTCATCTCACCAGCCCCACTCTGACCTGTTGCAGGTTTTACCTTTCTACTTCTCTCAATCTCCTCTTACACTGCAGGAAACCAGCAATAGGGTCTCTCTGCTTGATGTTCCTGTCCCCAGTTTCCCAAGTCTCCTCACCTCGAAGGGGACCAGCCACTGTTTCCCCATTGATCTCTTCTCCCCGTACATGCTGCTTGTAGAGATTGATCACCTGTGTTAGATTGTCATTGGCTTGCAGGATCTCCGCTGAAATGGAATAGGTGGGAACTAAGTTTGAAAATAGTCAAGACAGTGACTTTTATACTCTGATTCTGTCTATTCCTTCAAAGTAAGGCCCAAGGAGCTGCAGCTACCCACTGCAGAGAGAGTGTTTGCCACTGCTGCTGCAGACTGCACCAGGGTACACTGACACCTCCACAGCAGTCTCAGCAGGAATGAGAAAGGTCAGATGTGTTTACCCAGAGCTTCATCATTGTCTTCTGTGTCACTGGCAAGGCGGAAAAGCATGGGCCTCATGCGCTCACAGCGCTGATACAGCTCCTGTGGGAGAGGAGAAAGAGGTGCTGAGGTAAGCAGCAAGACACTCAGCTGGGGCTACAAAATAGGCAGGAGGATGGGGGGATAAGGGTCACCCATCTCTGCTATGCCTAGGGAGGATGCTGGGATGGCCTTCCCTCACCTTCATTAGGTCCTCGTTGCTTTCTGTTGTCTCCCCCTTGCTGTAGTTTGTCACCATCTCTGTCAGCAGCTTCACATTGTTGTTCACCTCCTCAATGGCATTCACTCTCTTGGAGATCTTCTCCATGCGCTTCTGGTCCTGGAGGGGAAGCAAATGGGGAAGGATGTCCTTGCTCTTGGCTATAACTTGGAGAGGAAGCCAGTCAACCACCAACTCCCTGGTCTAAGGCACAGCAATACTGCCCTCAAAACAGCTCCCACTCCAGTGAAAAACTCCAGGTTATCTCGGGACTATAACTTGCCAAACAGGGAAGGAACTGCTGCAGATCTAGTGCTGCAGCAGTAGGTCTTGGGTCACAGAATGTACACAGAGCCATTCCTCCAAGAAGCCAAGGAATGGCAGAAATCACACATGGACTCTTTAGCAGTTGCTGCAGTGAAATTCTGGGCAGAAGCTCTGTATGTCTGCATGAGGTCACAGAGCTACTGCTCCTTTAGTGCCAACCATCACCATCCAGACCATGTCCCCCCCAGTTTTCCTCTTTCCCAGTCACACCTCCTGAACCATCTCCTTGATGAGCTTGTTAGCAGCCCGGAGGTCCTCAGGATGGGAACTTTTCAAGAGCCGAGCCAGTGTCTGTAAAAGAGAAGGTACCTCTGAGCCCAAGCTGAGGGACAGCAGCCAGAGTCACTCTTGCCACACTAGAGCTAATAGCCCTGCCCCAAACCTGTATTTGGCAGAGGCAGTGGACAATGTCAGTTGTTAAGAAAGCCCAGCCACAGGAGCTATCAGAGACCAGAGAGAGAAGAAATCAACTGGTCTTCCTTTTCCCTTTATGGTTCTGGTTATATGAGATAGGTCTTTCCCTGAAGTTTCCCTGCATTTAAACCCTGCCTGTCACCCACCATGGAGAGTCTGCAGTGCAGCAGTACTAGCACAGAGACAGAGAAAGTCTGGTTCGTGCAGGAATTCCCATGGAATTGCAATGGACTAAGACCTCTTAACACGCCTGTTTGTAGGTGCAATTGGTGAAGAGGGAGAGTTCCCACTTTCTCTCCACAGTCAGTGAATAGTCCCACTGGCCACCTATAAATCCTCATCTTCAGACTCTAAGCCATGAAGACAAAATGTATCACCTGCAGCAAACTGGCCACAGAACTAGACCCAGAGGAGCCCAATACTTGTTCAAATGTATCAGCACTGATAATGCTGACACAATTCTGATGGAAAGACAACAAAGCATAGGTCCAGGAGGGTACAAGCAGTTGGGCAATAAGCAGATTGCAGTGCTAGGGGTGGGGAAGAGATAGCAGCAGCATCTGGGGCTGGGATTTAGACCCTGTGGCCAGGTAACTCAACTAAGTGCTCCAAAGGTCAAACAGACCCACATGCCCCACCTCTGTCAGTTTCCTCTGTCATGATTTTGGAGCAGTCCCTCAGCATTCCTGTGATGCATTTTCTGAAAGACAGCATGTGGAGCAGGGGCCTCAATCCTTTCTGGATCTCCTTATTAGGGGGACATGAGATACTGGAGCAGGAAGATACTGCCTACTGTCCCTTTCCTTGCACAGAGCCCTCACCTTGGATTTTTCTTCATCATCAAAGATGACGTTCTTGGGCCGAGGAGGAGGCAGTGGAAAAGGAGCATCATCAGGTAGTTTTGGGTCACACTTCACAATTCCTACAGTAGACACCAAAGCAGAGATCAGCAAAACTCACCCACACTCAGGGATGGCACCGCCACCCAATTTTTTTTTTCCCTAATGGCCCACCAAACCCAGCTGGGACTGACGGTGTGTGGGTTTGCTTCTGTTACCCAAGATCCTGGATTGTGTTTTCATGGAAGAACCGCCCTTCATTCCCCATAAATATCTTCTCTTAGAAAATCCCAGCATCTACTGCCAAAGAGCTCGCAGCCCTTCAGCCCCAGACCTTTCCAGGCCCTGTCTCCCATGGAAGGAAGCAGCTGTGCCCTCCAACCCAGCAACTTGGACCACCAGCAACTCCCTCTGCCCAGTTAGGAGCCCCAAGGCACCCGGTCCTTCTCGTGACCCTAGTGCTGGGCCAGACTGATGGATGTCGTGGGTCTGGGCACAGGGAAGGGAGAGCTCGTTTCAGATTCTGTCCAGACAAAAAACATCCATCCACCTTCCCCTTCCAGATCACTGCCTCTCACCTTGTTTCTTCAGCATCTGGTAGGCTTCTGAGATCTTCACCTCGTGCGGCAGCCCTAATGTCCAGCTGTACATCAGCTCCAGGATCTTTGACTTCACTTTTTCTGGTGTCCGGCTGCCAAGATACTAGAGGAAGAGAAAAGAGATGGCTTGAAGCTGATCTGAGCTGTTGCAAGCTTGGCCTGTTCCTCTCCTCCCACCCCCCAGGAGAAGTGAGACCATTCCTACGGCACAAGGAGGAAGAAAGAGGAAGCAAGCAGGGAAGCTCACGAGGGCCTTGCAACACATCCTACACTGTGCCTGGTTTCCACAACAGGAAAACAAGAGGTGTGAGAAATGGTGTAATAGTGGCCCCTTAGTAACACACAAGGACAGGTGGGAAGGCTCAGGCAGGTCTCTGTCCCCTCCTTGTGAAGAAAAGGGTCCTGCCAACAGAATCTGCTCAGCAAGGAAGCCCTTGAGAAGGGGAGACAGCAAGGCTGGGAGAGGAAGGTCTGTGGGTAATGGTTTCCAAGGCAGGGCCCAGTGCCTGGCATCCTTTAGAGCAAGGTGAGCCCCAGATGACCACTACCCAGCAGGGAGATACCCAAATGCTACAGCTCTCCTCCTGCCACACAATCATCCTTTACCCTTCTCCCGTGGGCCTGTTGGGAGTTCTGGTAGCAGAAACAGTGCATGTGCCACCAGAAGCTAGTGGTTTAAGGCAGAGGACATGCTCTAGGCTGCCAAGCAAGAGGACTTTAGGATGCTGCTGTCACTCTTTTTGGTTATTCATCACTGCAGATCACAAGCTGTGACTGGCAGACAGAGATTTTCCTTAGTCATATTTACTCTGTGTTCCCTTAACCCTACACTTCCTGGTGTTCACTGCCTTGGCTGAATAGGGGAGCACACACAGCTTGTTCTGCTGCAGGAACAGCAGCATCAGCAGAGGAGCAGGTAATGACTTGGTCCTTCAGATGGACTCGCCAGAACACCACTGACCAGGCCTGGGCTTGTCCTCCCTAAGTGACTCAATCGGGTTGGGACATCCCAAAGAGACACGGTCAGATGTCAGAGCTGGGGGAGGTTCCCAAGTACAGGCAGCACAGAGCCCAACAGCGATGCAGGAAGGTGACTCCAGGCACGCACGTGAGCTCAGTTGTCTCACAAGTGCTGGCTGCATCATGTCTAGCTGGCCCTCAGCTTCCTACATCAACAATCAGCCTGGGACAGAGGGGTGAAAACTCACCTTCCAACCAGGAAACTCAGCAGGGAACAAGGACCAGATTTCCTACTTACACTGTTTTCCCCATATCCCAGTGAGTGTCTGGCTTTTCTGCTCAGCCACCACTTTTTCCCAAAGTCCCCTCCAGCACGATGCCCTGGGACCCACCTTGGGTGACACCACCTTGATGAGCTCATTGAGGAAGCGGAACTTGCCCACCTCGTCATGGAAGCGTTTGCCACAGCTTTTCATGCACGACTCCAGCACCTGGGAAAAGGGGACAGGTGAGTCCCAGCATGAGGGCAGCAGCAGGATCTGGAGGCAGCTCCCCCCTCCTTCTCCTTCACCAAGTATGGAGCAGGAGGACATAGCCTCTATCCCCCCCTAGGGTGGTCAAGCATCCTCCCACAAAGAAACAAGAAGATTTTTCCTCTTTGGAGCCTTAGAGAAGTCATCCCAGGCTTTCACAGTGCGGATCCACAACGCGATTAAGAACCACAAGAATCATTTAGGTTGGAAAAGACCAACAAGACCATGGAGTCCAACCATTAACCCAGCACTGCCAAGGCCACCATAACAAAAACCCAAAAGCTTCCTATCAACTTCAACAGGATACGGTCCTAGGAACAAGATCTTTCCAAGTAACCTCTCCTGACTTGTGGAACCACCTTTGCTCCCTCTCCCACTCAAGGGACCAGGTGCTCCAGGGCTTTCTCAGATGGAATTCAAAGCTTCCCATGCTTCTCCAGTAAAGCTGGAGCACTTCCACACCCTGCCCCTCCATCTAGTTCTACCAGCCTGCAGATGTCCTTACCGTGAGGGCCTGGATTGCTTCCCATTCTTGTGGAGACTGGATCTTGTGGGCAAGAAGTCGGGTGGCAAGTGGAGGACTGGAAGGAGTGAGGGGAAAAAAAAAAGCCAGGCGGTTATTGATGAAAAGCCTGATTTCTGTCTTCCTGCCTGCAAATCCAGCGATGAAAAGCATGTTGCAAGTTGAAGACACTGATAAGGCACCAAGACACCTCAAGACCCGGGGGATACCTTCCATTAGTGGACCAGGACCCCCCCACCTACCCTACCTTGAGGGCCTTTGTGCTTATTCAGCTCTTGGGACTGGAGCCCATTGGATTTTACTGCGTGAAGAATCACAACCAGGCCTGTGACCTGGAGCATGCCTGGGGAAAGCACGAAGCACTTACCCCTCCAGCTCCTTATTGAGCTGCTCACAGAACGCATTGATACCATCCCAGTCCAGGTCCTTGTTCAGGGGGTTTGTTGCTTTGTCTGCGGGCGGGACGAAAGGACGGTGAGAAAAACCTCCCCAGGCGAGGGGCAACGTCGATCCCACTCCCTCCCTGCCAGCTCCACCGGGTGCGGTGGCGGGGAACCGTGAGGAAGGAGAAACGCCGGTAAGCGCTAGCCCCTTCCCGTGGCTGCCCTGTGCACAAACTCTGGCCCCCGCCTCTCTGCTGACCCCCGTGCTCAGGCAACGCCGCCCCGGGCTCAACGCAGCCCCCGTGTGCGCCCACACCCACCCCCGCCCGGGGCCAGAGCCGCCGCCCTCCACACCCCGATACGCGCGACCCCGGCGCCCCCTGCCCCACAGCCCCCCCGCCGGCCGCGCCAGAGAGAGCGGCGGGGCGGTCGCTCTTACTGATGCGCGCCTCCAGCGTCTCGGGCTCCATGCCGGGGCCCGCGGCTGCTCAGCGGGGCAGCGCCGCCCCGCCGCCCTCCCGCCGGGCCCGGAGCGCCCGCGCCATCGAGGGCCCCCGTCCCTCTGCCCACCGACACCCGGAAGTCGCCGGCCCAGAGCGTCGCCCCGCCGCCAGCGCGCCCCCTGCCGGCGCGCGTCCCCGCTCCGCCATGGAGCTCAGCCGCGCGGGGAAAGGAAAGGCGCGGGAGGAGGAAGGAAGGGGAAGGGCCTCCCGGAGAAGGGCATGGAGGGCAGGCGAAAGCGGGGCGGGGCGCCGAGAAGCGGCCGCCGCGCGGAAACCACCGGGCCGGCCCTCCCCGGAACAACCCGCGTACTGGCAGGTGAAGCCACTTCCGGCGAAGAGACCGGGCACTTGCAGCTGACGGCGCGCGGCGTGTCCTTTCAAAGGACACGGGCTCGCCGGGTGCGGCGCATGCGCAGTGCGCTCCCACCCCGGGAACGGAGGGGGGCGCGGTGCCGGCCCGCAATAAATATAGTACAATAGGAATATAATATAAGTGCTAGTAACTGAGCTCCCCTGCCGCGATCTTTACGTAGCAGGTGATCTCCCGGCCTTGCGCCTCGCTGAGCAGCGTGCGCGTTGGGGGGTGTCGGTGGAGCCCTGGGAAGAGCTGGAGGGCTCCAGGAGAACGAGCTCCGCTTGGCCTCGTTTTCCTCGTGGCTCTGGCAGTCTAGAACAGCGCCGGCTGTGACACCTGACACCGCCCGCTTGCTCTGTGCTCCAGCGGCCCTGGCAGGAGCGGCGCCGCTTCTCCCCGACACGCTCACTGCCTTCCTTGTTTACTTTCCTGCGCTTCAAACAGCGCTGGCTGAAGGGGCGAGCTGGGCGAGCTTTGGGTGAGCCTCGGCCGGCCCCTGTGCGAGCAGTGCTCTGTAAGGGTGTCGGCGGCGGTGCTGGGAGCTGGGGCTGCCGCAGAACCGCGGCGATAAGAGCACAATGCAGCCCTTACAGTGCAGCCCGTTCGGCATTCCAGCGTTTGATCCAGGAGACAGGCGTCTGAGCCGGAGCCGTCCCGTGCTGGGTTACTCATTTACAGTGCTAATCCCACGGTTGATGAGGGAACTGCCCTGTTGTCACACCTAATGGCTTTTCCTTATGGATAGCCATTGTTTCGGTGGGGATTTTTTGGCCATTAAAAAGCACTTTTTTTGGCGCCTGAATGTAGTTCTTTTTTTAACTGTTACTGCCTTGCATCACAAAGCCCTTTTTAAGTACCTTTCATAGAAAATTACGACATCCTTGCCTCTGCTCTGTTCAGGCACGTTTAACACGGGTTATTTTAATCTTGTGAGTCACCCTTGCCTGTCAGCACTACCACTTTGATTTTTCTGAGAATCCTGAAGTCATCTTTAGGAGCCCTCCAGGTCATGTACGATCAGCATAGAAGGCATGCATGTCTCTTCTCCATCCCCCACAGCGATGCCTCTGAAGGAGGGGTTTTGCAGGCTGGTGTTTTACACAGCCCCTTTGCTCAGGTTTCGGTCTGTCTGAGTCTCAAGCTTGTTTGTTTTGGCAACACCCAGTAGTTAGCAAGTCCAGGATGAATGGAAGGCTGCACCTCTTTTCAGCTGGTTGCAAACAATGGAGAGTGAACTCGTGCATAACAGTCCTGTCAGCAGCGACCTTGCCTTTATTTCTCAAAGATTTAGGAGTCTCTTTCCCCTTTGGTTACATCTGCTTTCCATATAACAAGGACCCTAAGTGCAACAGAAGGAAAGGGAGATCGGAGGCTGAATCTTGTTCCCTGTAACAGTGGTTAGACGTTGTGAGGATGGACCTTTCTCACTTCCCTCGATTTATTTTTACCGACAGCTGGAATTTCGAACTAGGTTTGGGCGGCATAAGGCTCTCCTTGTGGTAATTAACACGGCTCCAGAGGGAAAGTACTGGAACTATAATTAGCTTGTAGCCAGTAGCGGAGGAAAGTGATGACGCCAAGCCAGAGGCCTGGATGAGCACAGCTCGTGGGGACAGAGCGGTGTGGGTCCCAGGTTCGGCACAGGGATACAGGTCCCAGGTGGGGCAGGCGCTGCAGCAGCCGCCCGCAGAGGGCACCAGAAGGCCGGGGAGTGCCTGCCTGAGCAGCCGGGCTCAGCAAACGCTCTTGCTGCCCGTGCGCTCGAGGTGAATCGCCGAGTAAACCAAGTCCCTAGTCCTTCGGGAAGGGAAGGTGACCTCGCAGGAATGGCCGGGTCGCTCGGGAGAGGGATTTTCCACCCAGCAGCTCGTCTTCAGCCAGCCAGAACCACCCTGGCACCCCCTGCTCTGTCCCAGAGTTTGTTTGGTTTCTCTGCCGCGTGTGTTTATGCAAACGCTGCGATGTTTCTCAGATGCGCTTGTGTGGGGCAGCGAGAGCTTTTGTGCGCTTCCTGCTGGATTGTCGGCTCTGACCCGTGACGTGAGCTTCCCTTTCCCCATCACATTCCTCTTTCTTTGGCAAGGCGTTCTGCCAGAGACCTTTCACTTTCCCGGAGCTTGGTACCGTGGTCTTTTGTTCCCTTTTGTTGTTTTCCTGCTCTGGCTGACTGCAGCAGCCAGTTCCGGGGGGGTTGGCTCAGTTTTAACTCTGCTACTCTCTCTTGGAACAGGCTGGCAGCACCTCTTCTGACATCACCTCGGACCATGTACCTCTTTATGCAATCCCCTGGATTTACAGCCCTGCCATTCCTCGACCTTGGCTAATCTCCATACTTTTGCAATACTTTTAAGCATCTTTCCCAGCGGAGGGTTGCAATTAGAGAGGCAAGTATAGAGCTGCATACTTCTCTAGAGGGAGAGCAGGTCTGAGCTCCTTTAATCTAATAGGAAATGTCTCCTTTCCTTCATATGCAGCACTTTCTTGTGGTATGCAGTCATCCACCAGGATTTCTCCCTTCCATTTCTTTCAGCAGTTTCCCTTTCAGCTGTGGGAAGACCTGTCCTGGGTGATCAAAGGCGTCCTTCTACAACTACAGGAGCAGAATGAGGAAACAGGATGATGGATAAGGGATCAGAAAACCTGCTGGCTAGATCTCTGCAATTAGGCATGTCTTGGAGCAAGACTCAGGAAAATGCTCAGCTATGCTCACTGCCTCAGTTTACCTGGTCATTAGCGTGGGGGTAATTGCATTTGCTTCCTTTTGGGGAATTGCCTTGACCTCTGTAAACCAAATTTCCTTTCCGTGTTGATTCTGTCATTAGAGCAACTGGCTCAGCAAGACAAGTGAGAGAAGCAAGTACCAGAGTTAGAGGTGAGCTGTGCAGCTTGCTGATTCCTGGTGTTCGAGCTCTCCTTCCAAACTGGGCAGCTCGAGGGGTGTCTCAATCCCTTGACCGAGTTGGCAGCAGTGCCCTTCTGGACAGTATGGGGAGTGAAAGGGCCTCCTTACACCCTGGGGAAGGCTCAGATGGGTTTGCTGTTGTGGAAAACTTCTTTCCAAGAGAGTCTGGGACATTCAGGGGATGCTCTGAGAACGTGGGAATGCTCTTGCTGCCGAGGAACATTATTGGCAGCAGGCAGTGATGAAATAAAACTGACAGAACGGAAGCCCTAGTCATAGCCATGTCTCGGGGGCTGATAGGTTATGTAGCTGGTGAGCCAAAACCTGAACAGGGAGAGGAAGACCTGCCAGGTTAGATAGAGGGAGCTGCTTAAATTTACGTGGCTGAAGTGAGCACTGAAGGCCCTGAGCCCGCAAGGGGGAGCCTCGGTGGAGTTACTCACAGCACTGCTGATGAGATCAGCTCCAGACTGGTACAGATCCGCTACCGATACTGTGCACTCGAGACTCAGGAGTCGACAGAGGCACTAGAAAACATGAACAGATTCACCCATTCTTGCTCTAGCCCTCAATTGCTGTGCTGTTGCTAACAGACGGAAGGGGCGTCATTAGAAAGCACAAGTATTGGGGGGGGGGGAAGTAGTTTAAGAGCATGGATTTTGCTGAGATATAGTTTGGCTCTAAAGAACAGCAGGAGGGAGAAGGAGAAAAACCCTATTGCAAAGGCATTTCTCACGGGCATCCAAGCATGATCGGAGCGGAGATTGGCAACACAAAACTAGGCATCCTGAAGCAAATCGGGGAGCCCAGCTGCAGCAAATCCCCCAGCCTGAATGATGAATACATCCCTGCATTGCAGTGACAGCGAAGTGTGACTTAGTGTTTGCTGGGGATATTTAGTGTAGCAGCTGCCCGGGGAGCTCAGAGGCGCAGGCGTGTGCAGCCTCTCTTTCACAACGTGGCACAGGGAGGAGGTATTCCCTCTGCAGGGTGCCCTGGTGCCAAATGCACGTGTACTCAGCTGTGCAGCTGGCTCAAGTGTGGCAGCTGGTGAGTTTGAATAGATGGGTTTTGGCCTGGGCTTGAAAATCCCCCATTGCCAGCAATCCTGCTTTGGCTGCAGCTGCTTCAAGTTCCCTAGGAAACTTCAGTGCTGGCTTAAGTTGGGACTGTGGAACAGCCAGAGGAGGCAGTCCAGTGGCGCTCTCCCTCCATCCAGGCTGCTCAGTCTCTGCCGCTTGGCACTGCAGCCAGCTTCTGGCCTGCTTTCCATGACGGTGAGGATCAGCAGGGCAGAGCGATCCCAGTGCTGGGGCATGGTGGATGTGGAGCTAGGAATGAAAAGAAAACTATGACCCAAGACGGGGAGGAGGGAGACGCAGAGTCTGCATACACAGATTTCCCAAGGACCTGACTTTTCATAGGCTCCTTTGTAGTCCCTCTGGTTTCATCTGTCGTAGTAAGCGCTACAGGAGCATGGCTGGGCCCGAGCACTGCCTCAGGATGTCGGCTCATGCCGTGCAGTTGTTAGCAACCTCTCTGCCTTGGTTTTGGGCAGTGTTAGCTAGCAGTGCCACAGCACCCAGGCACAGCTGGGGGACAGGGTGGGCTGGGGACTGTTCCCACCAGAGCCCTATGTCACCATGCATTTAACCCCATGAATGAGAACTGTGTTCTGCTCCTTGCTTTTGGGGCCAAGAGTGAAACAGCTAAACCCTGTAAGCCCAGGTCTCTCAGAAGGCAGGCTTTTGAAGTACAGTCGCCTGAGCCTGTATATTTACCCCCTAATTTTCCACTGTTTCCCTCCTCGAAGATGGGAAATGTCATGCAACAGGTTGTAGG